ATATGGTGGGACATTTGGTCATACGGCAGGAACTTTGGTCATATGGTGGGACATTTGGTCATACGGCAGGAACTTTGGTCATATGGTGGGACATTAGTAGCTTTGGTCAGTTCAAAATTTGACCAAATATCTTTACATTTTTCATAAATTAATTGAAGAAAAATCAGTAGCTGTGCTTCAAGACACAAAAACATGTAAAAGAATATTCTCTCTTCCTTTCTTTTATTTTTATTGATAAAAACAAATCATGCAAATGAATAGTTTAACAGAAAATACAGGTATGAACACAAAGGCATACAGGTCATGGTAATAATCATATCTCAGTGTTCTGTTAGCAAACAGATTATAAAAATGAGAATTTTTAAGTTGGGAAACAGAAAGAACAAAAGAAGATAAAATAAAATGAGTGACAATGTAAGGAGATGAAAAACAAAAGCTGTTTAAATAACATTTATTTACCTTCAGTTCATTTGCTTCGATGTAGCCGCTGCGATCTGTATCGTATCGCCTCCACGCCTGAGAGAAATGAGCAAAACAAAAAGAAAATATTCAGTATTTTTATTTATTTTTTAAACAAATGAGAAAACTCTTTTCCTGAGTGATCACCCCCACCCCCACCTTCCCGCTCGCTCTTCAGATGGTTTAACTTTCCTCTGGAGCTGAGCGGAAATCGTTCAGAGATTAGAAAGCATCAGTGTAATCACACCGATACAATCCCACAGACAGAGGCAACCAGAAACACAGGAAAGAAAGGAGAGGAGAAGAAAGAAAGTCATTTTTTAAATGAATGTTTTAATCTAGCAGCTGTCCTCGTCCAGAGAAAGGCTTCTTATCAAAGATGGATGGCTTCTCCTCCTCCTGCTCCTCCTCTGGGCTCTGCAGAGAGGAGCTCTTATTCATTATATATGACTCTGAAAATAGAAGTTTCTGCTTCCCCCCATCCTAAAACCCTCCCCTCCCTCCCCCCGCCGCCGTCCTCTCAAACTCTGACCCTCAACTTCTCATCGACATTTCATTTACGGCCCCTCCGTTCCTCCCTCATCTTCCCTCTCGTGTAATTTCCTGCCTTTCTTATTTTATTATTTCCTCCCGTGATGTCGGAGCAGACAAGGAGCCATACGTGTAATTGGTTTCTAATTGCCGCTGTTCCCCCTCAAAGCGGCCGACCTAACAAGAAATCTGCTATTTCTTCTTCCTGTCTTCTCTCCGAATCTTTGAAGGTTATGTTTTTTTTCCTTTTAATTTCAACATTTAAAATTTTACAGCAGAGCTCAAACTTACATTAAATTACTTCTTTAAAGTTCATCTTCAGAATCATTTTTCACCTTTGATTTATTATCACCTGCTGCTGAAAGGTTTCAGAGTCTGTCAGCAAAATATCTTGTGAACCAATGGACATTTTGGAGCTAACAATCATTAGATGTACAACTGATTCAGAGTCAGCCTGATTTAGGACGGCCGCAGCAGCCGACTGTCCTTCAACAACAGAAAAATGACTGTTTTACAGATATTGTATGCAAAGAGTTTAAAAACATATTTACAAGTTCTCACTTTCTGTGAGTATAAATCCCTGTTAAAAATTTTCCACTAACATTTTATTGTTATTCAGCTCACTGTTCTTACATTTTGCAAATTTCTACTAACAATTTAAACGTAAATGATATGTCTAAATATTAAATCCTAAATATAAAAGTTAAATCTTAAATGCTAAAGTTCATATTTAAGTGTTTCATAATGAAACACAGCCATTGCTGTTGGTGCTCCGCTCAAACACTGACACTGCTAACACTGCTAACTATGCTAACTATGCTAATGCTGCTAACAAGATATCAAATTTGCAGCTGAGCCAGTGTCCGAGTTGTACTTCAAAACTGCTGGAACACAAGTACCATCCATAATGTTTTCAACGTACACATCTTAAATTCATACTTTAAATGTCATCTTCAGCAGCGTTAGCAGTATTAGCATCTTTAGCAGCATTAGCACCCTATACAAAACTGTACCTAAACTAGCAAAACAGTTGCTATTATCATCAAACCAAATACTAAAATGAGCTGAACTGTAGCTAAAAGTAGCAAAACAGATGCTAATATAAACAAACAAATGCTAAAAAGAGCACAATTTTATCTAAACTTAGCAAAACATATGCTAATATAAACAAAGCAAATACTAAAATTAGCAACACTGTAGCTAAAATTAATGAAACAAATGCTATAAACAAAAGCAAACACTAAAATAAGCTAATCTGTAGCTAAAATTATCAAACATGCTACAAAGCAAATATTAAAATGAGCTAATCTGTAGCTAAAGTTAACCAAATGCTAAAAAGCAAATAAACAAAATGAGCAGAAAGGTAACAAAAATCAAATGTTGACCTAAATGTTGTTATGGTGGCAGTTAAATCATTTATAACACAAACTCTGAAGGTGACATTTTTGCTTGAAGGCACATATAGCTTTATTTTCAAGGTTTGACCAAAACAACCAAAAGTTTAAAGTAAAACTGCGTAAACGCCAACAGGATATAATTCCTCCAAGACATTCAAGACAATTTATTTTATGTTTTAATTTAAAGCCACTTGTGTTTGGCGTCATATTTACTTGTAGTCTCTCATTACAGATAAACTTGTCACCTTTCAGCGTTGATGGATCTGTTAACTTCAGTGTTTAGGTGTTAAAACAAACCAGGTTTCAGCAGAAGACGTGCAGTCATGTGCAGCTGAGGGCAGCGGTCTGCGTCTCTTTTTATTTCAAACTACTCCTCTTTATGTCACTAATTGGTCCACCTTCAGCCACCCGGAGGGAATTATTTTTGCTAAATTAGCTGCTAGATAGGAGCTAAAACAGGCAGGCTGTCCACAGCTGACTGCTTCTGCTCTACAATGTGTGGTCAGCTGAAGTTAGTTGGTTCTGATTAAACAGAATTTACAGCCAACAAGAAGCTTCTGCAGGAAAAAAAAAGTTCAAAAGTGCTTCAATGAAAGGACAAAACGAGCATCAGGAGCTCACCGAGCTGTCCGGGACGAAACACTTACCGCCATAAACTCAGCGCTGGAGCTGACAAACTGTCTGAAGCAGAGCAAGAAGTTCTCTTCAGTCGGGAGAATCTGGGCCAGCTGCAGACAAACGACAGGAAAATGGGAGTGGTGAGAACAAGATGGAGCTGAAGCACCGGGAGAGGAGAAGAGACATGTATTTATTATTTTTTTAAACCCTCAAATGGACAACAGAGACATAAATAATAAAGAACCATAACCTGAGAAGCCGGGTCGTGCCTTTAGTTGGGAATATTTATGAAAAGTCACGCTTTGGAGGGTTCACAGAAAGACTTCACAGCAGATCGTTATCCAGGCTGTTAAACCTCAACTTAATTTTCCAGCCGAGCGACGGATTATTGATTCTGCATGAAATCTTCCTCACATCTCTTTCAGAGCCGTCTCCGAAAGGCGGGAAACAGAAATCTCCCTCTGATGCCGCAGCAGACGATCCTGAAGATCAATCCTCGGCTGATATTCTGGATCTGAAAATTATCCCGCGTTTGTTTCAACAGTTTTCTCACGACGAGCATGGATGAGGAAAGTTTTCCTCTGTGATTCATCACAGCCAGATGTTTGTTTTAAACTTTAAATTAACTTAAAACTGTAAAAGTTAGAATTATGTTACAAGTCAGCCTCATAAACTTCAGCAACATGTTTTATGGCTGAGCGCTGAGTCAGCATTTACGTCAGTCGAACTCCTAATTTACGCTGTTTTAGCTCTTTATATATGAAAATGTTCGGCTCATTCTGAAGATAACTTTAGTTTTTTGGTAACTTTTATACTTTCCTAAAAATTTAACTTATTTAAAATATTAAAGTTAAAAAGGTCAATTTCTTTTTGCAATCTGCTTCAGCTTGCTCTGTTCTTCTTTTTATGCTACTTTTAGCTTTTAGCTGTTCTGCTAGTTTGAGTTTTAGCTTCTATTCTGTTACTTTCACCTAGCCATTTGCTACTTTGAGCTTTTAGCTATTGTTGTGCTACTTTGTGTTTTTAGCTACCATTCTGTTATTTCAGCAAGTCTTTTACCTTTTAGCTATGTTGTGCTATTTTCTGTTAGCCTTTTGTTTCTTCTAACATTTAGCTGTTATGATACTTTGAGCTTTTAGATACCATTCTGGTATTTTCAGCCACCATTGTTTTACTTCTATTTTGAGTTTTCAACTACCATTCTGTTACTTTCAGCTAGCCTTTGGCTACTTCTATAGCTTTTAGCTGTTGTTGTGATACTTTGAGCTTTGAGATACAATTGTATTTTTCAGCTACCATTTTTTTACTTTTAGCTATTCTTCTATTTTGTGTTTTTAACTACCGTTCTGTTACTTTCAGCTAGCCTTTGGCTACTTCTATAGCTTTTAGCTATTGTTGTGCTACTTTGCACTTTTAGCTACCTTTCTGTTACTTTCAGCAAGACTTTTGCTACTTTTTGTTTTTAAGTAGCCTTTAGCTGTTAGCATGTAGCAGGTGCTCTTTTAGCTGATAATATAGCTGATAATATAGCTGATAATATGTGTTTGTCTTCATCACTGGTGATTATTTAATTTAAGGAAAATAATATGAATGCAGAAACTAGCATTAGCCACTTTTAGCTTTATGCTAAGCTAAAGTCAGCTTTTATTTATCTTTTATATTTAAAAACAAATAATAATTTCTAGTTTTCTGTCTCAGAGTGAAGAAGACAAACATTAAAAGTGAGACCACCTTTAAGGACCCACCTCTGACATCTCGATGCGTCCATCTTTGTTCTTGTCAAACTTCTGCATGAACTCCTTCATTCGTTCTCTGAACGTTGGGTTCGTGGGGTCCTGCAGGAAACACTCGTTCAGGTAAAGAAGCTCAGGTGGATGTGGGATCGACGTCTCGTCCCTGAACTCACCACTCCGGCTCCTCTCCGGGCCTCCTCCAGCTCCCTGAAGAAGTTCTCCAGCTCCTTCCCTTCGATGTAGCCGTTACCTGGGAGACAGACAGAAGGGGCGGGTTTAACTGCGTCAGCGCTCCATCAGATGCAGCTTGTTTTTAACCCCGTGTTAATGATTAATCATCTAAAACACGTGTCAAACTGTAGGCCCACGGGCCAAATGTGGCCTGCCACAGAACTTTATGTGGCCCATGAGGCTTCGAAGACGTCTTAAAATAAACTGCTTTAAAGGAGAAACATGTCTTTATACAAATCTCGTAGTTGTAGCTCCACAAGCCCCTTTTTTCACCCCACTTCTGAGGTGCGTCTGAGAGCAACTCGTTTTGGTGCTGTCTCTTTAAATGCAAATGACCCCGATCGGCCATTTTTGTAGTTTTGATAGCAGATCTAGTCATGTACAAACTTTTTATTTACAACAGAAGACATGTTGGACCCAGAGCCAGAGGACAATGAAGACGATGAACCTGCAGAAAAATTGGTAAGTCCATGACCTCATTTAGCACTTCCACAGCAAATACTGACGTTATTACTCAATAATGTGGAATAGAGAAAACTGAACGGCTTGAAAATGTGATCAAAACTAAATATAAAGATATCTACGCAGCACCAGGAGAGACTAAATTAAACTTTTCTGCCTCCTAGAGACTCCAGCTACAACAAAATGTATTTAAGGATAAAAAGGTGGATTTTACAGTTTATACGTTCTCTTTAAATCCAGCTTTGACCATAAACTACATCTCCCATAATGCATGTTGATTATTTTACATCCCACCACTCGCTGGAGCTGCACAGAGTCCAAAAGTAGCCATGTAAAATCTACATTTAGCTGCTTTTGTGAATGGCTACTTTAGCTGCAGCCCAGTTGTACTGGGAAGTGGGAATTCCCCACTTAAAAGTCATAAATTTCAACTGGAACACCATTCCAGTGGGAATTCCCTGTTGGAAAGTGTGAGAGTTCAGAATTCAAGATGGCAGCTACTCACCACAACTCATCTGTGAGTAGAACTCACATACTTCTACTTTTAACAGTATTTCTGTTTTATTTATTTTTTAGTCAGCAGAGGTTTAAAGTAACTAAGTACATTTACTTTGTTACAGTACTTAAGTAATTTTTTTGAGGATTTTCAATTTTACCAAGTATTTTTTTTAAATCGTGACTTTTACTTAGTTACTTTTAAAACCTAAAAATTATACTTTTACTTCTTTACTTTAAAGTTTAACACCTAGTTACTTGTTATAAATTAAATCTGAGCTCATCATGAAAGGAGTTGTTTATGTGCTCTAAAAAATTAAGTGTTGAATTTACTCAACTAAATCATGTCAACTATTTCAACTAAACAGAGTAAATTTGAGGCAATATACATATTTTATTTTAAATAAATTGACCAATTTAATCAGCTTGGTTTTGTGGAGGCTGTTTGGTTCTGTAAATTAAGAGTTTATTTGTTAGAGAGCGTGGAAATGTACTTTTACTTCTACTTTCCTAATTTTTGTGAACAGTTTTATGACTTTTACGTAAGTAGTTTTCTCATCAGTGACATTTATTTTTACCAAAGTCATTTTCTGTGAAGGTATTTTTACTTTTACTTAGTTATTTTTCCAAGTACTTTATAGACCTCTGTTAGTCGTACTTTTCAGTGGTTATAAGAGGAACATGTTAAAACGCTGTTTCTATGCAGGAAATACCAGGTAGAGCTTAGCTAGTGTCATTTAAAAACAATCCAATGTGTTTAATGAAGAGTTTGGTGAATTAAGATATGTTAAAAATCAAAGGTTGAATTAAATAAATTCCATCAGGGAGTTTCAGAAAAGCTGAATTCATTCAGATTTTCTGCTAACAGCTCTGAATCATCATCTTGTGGAGTTTTCTCGTCTTCTCTTGTTTTCGTCTCATTCTTACCGTTGTGTTTGACCTGACTGCGTCCATCCGGGAGACGAGTCAGTCTCTGCTCAGGTGTTTCTACAGACCTGGGCCAATATTTCCACTTAGAGCGGGAGCCGAGCGGCCGGACAGATGGCTCCAAACGACGTGACGAGCTGCTTCAATAAAACCCTGGAAGGCAGAGCTGCCTCATTAAAGCACCAGCTCGAATTATTACCGCTTCCTCCTGCTCGTCCTTCCACTCGTTCTTTTCTTCTTTCTTATCCAAACAACATCTTAGGCTCTTTGTTCTCTGCATACATATATCCGTTTATGGTGTAATTCAAACTCGTGAATAAAATCTCTGCTGGTTTTCTGTGGATGGCTGTAATCAACTTCCTGTCCCGAGGGTCTCGCTGACATTTGGCGTTCTGGAGGGAAATGCTTGGTAGTTAAACAAAGACGAGCTACGAGCTGAATAAAATAAATATATAGGTAAATAAAAGTGCTGCTCGATGCACGAAGCAATGTTTGTTTTATGAAATTTTAGGTTTAGTCTGATGAACCATTTGTCCCATTTCCAAGTGGGACAAGCCCAGATCAGCTCTGAGGCTAAGCTCGACCACCCAGCTAAAGAAGATCACTTTAGCTGCTCGGGTCCAGGATCTGGTTCTGTACGTCAGGATCCAAAACTTCAAGACTTTTCAACTGACCAAGAATGAAGCCCAGAATAAAAACAACAAAATTATTTATTTATTTATTTGTACGAGGAAAGTTAGAAATATTTAACTTCACTGAATTATAGAAACTTATTCTTTATCTAAATGTTACCGTTTTACTTTACTCAGATTTTCTCTCCACATTCAGGTTAAAACTTTTCTTTTAACCTTTTTATTAAAGACAGAAAAAAAACACAAAGATCACTGAAATAACCTGAAACTACAGAATTAGCATTTTCTGCAGAAAAGCAGCGTGAATGTTTGAAGAAAAGATGTACAAAAATGTTGCTGTTTGGTGTAAACCAGCCAAAAACACTGCAAACAGAAAATTATAGCTAAAACAACAGTTCAGTCTAGGACAAAGAACCAGAAAGAATCGAGCAGTAAGCAGCTGAAATTATATAATTTAGCAGAAAATAACGATAATTAGCTGAAAACATTTAGCTTTAATTTTAGAAAACAGCTGAAAAAGCAGAAAAAAGCTTAAATTAACACAAAGAATAAAAAAAAATCAGAACAAAAGGTGAAAAGTGCAGAAAAAGTTCAACGTTTTAAAGGATTTAATTTTTTTAAAGACAAATCTTTTTTAATGAGAACAAAAATGGGCAAAAAGCTAAATATCTGAAAAATACAAACTGATAAAAGAAGTCCACCTGTCCACAGGTGTTCACCTGTCCACAGGTGTTCACCTGTCCATGAGTGTTCACCTGTCCACAGGTGTTCACCTGTCCAT